CTACGGTTTATGTAATATCCTGTAAAAAACAAGGTGGATACAAGTCTCCGTATTCAGTGTTCAGTCGGTTTAAAATCGTGGATCTCGAGGAACACACGAATTCATTCGACCAATCAAAAACGTGGAACTAGTTCGAGAGTCTCGTTCAGGTGGCGCGTCGACGCGCCAAAACACAGCTCCAGATTATCACGCGTAGTATTACTATATATACACGACCAATCAAAAACGTGGAATTGCTTCGAGGGCCCTCCGCTAAGGTGGCGCGCCGAAACCAGAGAAAAATTGAGACCACCAAAAACAGGCTCATTGGCAATCTCCCTACTCATCTCTGATACAAGTCTCCCTATTTGAGTGTTCACCCGGTTTAAAATCGTGGATCTCGAGGAACACACAAGTTCATTCGACCAATCAAAAACGTGGAACTAGTTCGAGAGTCTCGTTCAGGTGGCGCGTCGACGCGCCACCTGAACGAGACTCTCGAACTAGTTCCACGTTTTTGATTGGTCGTGTATATATAGTAATACTACGCGTGATAATCTGGAGCTGTGTTTTGGCGCGTCGACGCGCCAAAACACAGCTCCAGATTATCACGCGTAGTATTACTATATATACACGACCAATCAAAAACGTGGAACTGCTTCGAGGGCCCTCCGCTAAGGTGGCGCGCCGAAACCAGAGAAAAATTGCAATCACCAAAAACAGGCTCATTGGCAATCTCCCTACTCATCTCTGCAGGTAGCCTATTTCATAACCTGATACCCATTATGAGGACAGACTTCTGATAGGAAGTAGTGCGACATAGCGGAGTGTACAGGTCAAGGTAATGTCCGCGAGGGGCCATTTTCAATTATATGTCTTGTATTTACCACTTTTGCGGCAAAGAATTCTGGTGTTTGAAAACTATGGCCCGATACACAAATATTGCTAAGAAATAGAGTCTGCGTTGGCTGATCTTCAGTAGCTTTAGGTCTAAATACTGCGGAGAGATATGCTCGTATTTGAGCATACATTTTTTCTATAGAGATATGCTCCTTTCCCTCTAAGGAAAGAAAGGAAGGAAGGAATACAGGCCTACGGATTCCAGTATGTTTATAGCTCAGTGTGGACTACGCGTAGACATAGGAAAACATGGCCGGCTGGAAGAAAGAGATAGCGACTGGTGGCGGCCAAGCCTTGTCTCTTGCTGATCAGTAGCGTAGTAAGATGTTTGAGAATCCTGGGCATAATAAGTTTTTGCATCATAATGTTATAATTAAATTCTAAATATTCGTGCACGATAATGTGTAATCATAATTTAGTCATAACCTAATCGAATCTCATTATTTAAATAATACATTATTACTCACCTATGGAATGACAAACCTTGCGATTTGTCTAATCTTTTCTTGCAGATAAAACATGTATACACCATACCGAAGGATATTTACAAGAACATTTTTTATCGTTGTTCTACGAAGTCGACGTAACGTATTGCAAACGCCATTATATCACGCCACGCAATTTATAAGCAAAGGAATCAACGTCTAACAGTACGTTCCTGAGATCCTCTGAGCGATAAAAAGGTAGCCAATAGGAACATTAGGAAAGAAGAGCTATTGACCGCCAAATCACTCCCTCTTTGTCTATTCGAGCCGACACTTTTTCAAGGAGCTTGAAATACGGATCGCGTAGTCCATGCTATAATGTCGATGGCCTATACTTTCTGCACTTTTCGTAAAGGGCAAATTTTTATTAGTTACTTTAAAATATCATCCAATAATAATTTGCACTTTTGGAAAAGTGCAGAAAGTGTGGGTAACAAGATCAGATCTAATATGGTAAACTTTTATACTTGCAATCCTCTGATAGTCGTTTCATAGTCTTGTAAAAACGTTTGATAATCAATAGTCTTTTCAGATTTTAGTCTCAATTAAATGCATACAATAAACAGAGAAGCCACGATGAACTCTGCGCTCTCGGATAGTTTTGAAACACATCTATAGTGCTTCGGACCACGAAAAAACGCTTGCACGAACGGACCTATTAGAAACATCATTGGGTGGTTTCACTGAGATACAGGAATACTGGAGGCCGTACGCTTGTATTCGGAGATAGCCCTGTAAACGTGCCACTATCTCACTCACTCTCTTTACTAGGTTGTTCATTTCGAATTGAACCGCGCATGTGGTGTATGTACATACATACAACTCAACAAGCCGTGCAAAAATGTTTTCTCGCCGACATATCAGTGGGGACATATCTGGGTTTCTGTAAAGCTTTATGCATTAAGTAACAGTTGCGATGAATCTTTTAAAATCACTCTACACATCGATCAAGTAATCCATATAACTTTGTAAAAACGACAAAAAATATTTAGCAGTCTTTGAAATAAAATATGCGTGCCACTATTTCAGGTTATGTTGGCTTAGTCCTTCACGTGTGCAGTGCTTTATCCACTGAACTATACCCATGGAACGCGCACACAGTAGTAAAAGCGCGAGCCGAGGGAGATAGCATTATTATAGCGGGATCCATCTTTTTTCTAAGCGTTTTAGCCAATGATGTTCCTAGTTGGTGTTGGTGTTTCGTTTCCATAGATACCGTAACAGGCAGGAGCGTACATACCACTTTACCAAATATGATCTCTGAAATGAACCGGTGCCCCTTTGTAGATGCTTTCCAGTGACAACTTGCAATCAACATGTGGTTAGTGAGGTTCGACAATATTTTTGAAGTATGATATAATATATCCACAAAAATTGTGAAATTGTGTTATATTAAGTCGTGTAAGCAAGAGTGGCGGCCCAACAACACCATTTCATTTCATAGGTAATTTGCATCATAGTATTATACAGAATATAGTCGCGCTTTGTTGTGACCGAACAAGTTATCTATTTATAATATTTTAAATTTATGTTTCCAAACGTATATTTTTTACTTTATCACTTATTTACGGACGTTACGTTGTTTACGTAGCCGCCGAAATTCATTTAATGTACCGTGTCAAAAAAATTACGAAAATTCCTAGTTCGGGGCGTCGGACGTCTTTATACGGCCTTGAAAAACAAAGAGGTCGTCCACTATATCGGCCATCTCTCTCGGCTCGTGCTTTTACTACTGTGTGTGTGTTCCATGTTGGGTATAGTTCAGTGGCTTTATCTCAGCTTAAATTTTTTGAGAACCTGTATAGTGTGTGATAGAGACAGCGTACTCCATCGGTCTGTTTCCTCGCTATCTCTCTCTCTCTCTCTCTCTCTCTCTGTACACCTCCCACCAATGCTGTACGCGTTCCAGTATACTTACATTTCAGTGGGTGGTTTCCAATCCAATTGTTATTAGATAAATGTCGACACAACTTGCGTTCCAAATGAAACTTATGTCGACATAAGTGTAAAACTGTACACCTCCCACCAATGCTGTACACCTGTATAGTGTGTGATAGAGACAGCGTACTCCATCGGTCTGTTTCCTCGCTATCTCTCTCTCTCTCTCTCTCTCTCTCTGTACACCTCCCACCAATGCTGTACGCGTTCCAGTATACTTACATTTCAGTGGGTGGTTTCCAATCCAATTGTTATTAGATAAATGTCGACACAACTTGCGTTCCAAATGAAACTTATGTCGACATAAGTGTAAAAACGTGTACTCAACTTCTCCACCAAATTTACTGAGGTGGTTTCTAATTACTCAACTTATGTTAAGACAATGTCATGCTATTTGCTAGGTCTAGCAGAATATTTTCGGAATGACGATATAACTTTGCGTTGACACAAGTCAATACCACAAGACATGTAATTGGAAACCACCCATTATAATGTCGAGGCTAGTGATAAATAATCTTACTAGGATTGAGCGGCAAGCTCAAATGAGGGTTTAAAATGAGATTACGATTCCTGTCCCCAAATCAGAATTTAATGCTTTCAAAGGGAAGGGAAAATGGTAAGGGAAGGGAAGTCCCCCGAAATGAAAAAGAAAAATTGTAAGTTTTATTTCCCTGAATGACTTTAAACATTGAGAAAAATCAATAAATTAAAAAAAAAAAAAGAATTCGCGATACACTACATACAAGCATCACGAAATCGGGTGAGAACTACGAGACAAGTGGGCAAGAAAGAAATTCCGCGTGTGAGAAAAAAAATCGTACCGACGTGTGCATGCGCCGTGTAAAATATTTATTTTCTTACTGAAAAGCGCCACTTTGGTTACGTTTAGCAGGTACGAAAAGTAGCACTTCTAACGCATGCGTTACAAAAAATATACTTATTGTTGTTTATTACCGATATATTGCCGGACTTCGTCACCCCTTGGCCCTTGCGTCCCCACTACCAATAAGTTTTTTTAGGAAGGGGAGTCAGGAGCCATCCGCCGCGAATTTCGGGGATATGTGAGCGCACATATAATTGTGCTTTAAACAACCCACCGGTACCGTGGAGAGTTAAAGTTTGTAAAAACTCACCCTGTCTTCAGGACAATATCGTTTAGAATGCATTGTAATTACAATAGCTGTAATTACTTCCTAGACTGTACAAGGATTTAAGATTGGCATTGAAGTATGTATGATATTAACATATTTAAAACATTAAAAATTTTTCTATTTGTAAAATCATCAGTAAGGTGTACATTGTCGCAGTCGTGCGACTAATCAATGCTTGAAACGAAATGCCATGTAATACATTAGAATCTTTCCTTTGCATAACCTCCATTACAATTTCGATGTTGATCTATGAATTTCCTTTGTCAACTGGACAGCATATTTAGCTGTTCCTGGAGCTGTACAGACACCATATCCGCCATGGCCATAATTGTGAACAACCTGCACAATAGACCATATTATTAGGCACATACCTAGAGCAATTTAATAATGTAAATTTACTACATAAAGTTACTTACTATTGTTCCAGAGTAACCAGTAAGTTTTTCTGGTTCTACACGAACATTTCCCTCCCTATGAGGTCTAAGACCAGTAGCATAGGCTACAGTTTTGGCTTTACTCAGGGATGGTAGTAATGTTTCGCATCTTTCGCGAATTGCTCTGTTTTCATGCTGACATATACCTGAAAATACTGAGTCGAATGATCTTGATCCACCCAGTGTACAAATACCATAGTGTCCAGGTATGATGTAGGTATCCAATTCTCCATAGAAGCAATTTTTTATCCAGGGTGCTTTGACCTATGTACAAGAAAGACATAACATTATGAATGTCTTATCTTTATTGCTCATTGTCAAACCAAGCCATTTTTATATTACTAACAGATTTCATTTCAATTATACCTTTATAACTTGTCCTCGAATAGGAACGAGACGTCTGTCATCGCAAAGTTCTCGTGCACCAATGCCCGTGCAATTTATTATTAGCGGATTCTCTTCACCAAATTCACTCAAAGAATCAATTTTCCTCGTTATTAAAGAGACACCATCTTCCCGCAATCTAAAAAAGGATTTTTCGAAATTTTTCAAATTTCAAAAATTCTAGAATATAATAATTACTTTTGCCTCGCCCAAGGAAGATGTAAACTGCATTGAGTCAGTAGAGTTGTGAAAAATGCACCATATTTCCAATCTCCTCCAACAATATTAAATTCGTCGTCAGTGGCAGCTCTGTATATTGGTACAAGCCCTTCCATCCATTTATTCTATTATTTATTAAACAGATCAGAAAAGATAATATATAATATATCCATTATACAAACCTTCACTGCATTTGGTCCAGAATTAGCAAAGATGTAACCAGAAATATTGGTAACCCCAGCAACTCCTGCTTCAGCTGATTTACGAATATCATTGTAATATTCGTAAGAATCATTTATCCATTTTCTACAATAAAACCACTAAACTGTATTATTTGTGTTTGTTTCCATTGTTATACGGTACCTTGTAATTTCTTCACTTGGTCCAAAATATGAAGATCCAATTCTAAATATGCCAGCGGCTACATGGCTAACCGTGTCATCGAAATCTGAAGCGAATATGGTAATATTCGCATTACGTAATTCACGTTTCAATTCCAACGCTGTAGTTAAGCCTACTATGCCACCACCAATAACTGCTATTCTCATTTTACAGAATTTCTAAGCCACTTTGAAAGAAATCTTTGAAATTCCGACCACAAACTTTGAGAATGACACAAGTAATATAATCTACGACTTCTTGTGACGTATAAATGTGTTATCACGAAGTTGAATATTACGTAACCAGTTGTACTATTGACATTTGACTATACAGAGTGTGTATATGGACGATGCATCACCAATGGAGTAGCGTGGAAGATTCAAAGAATTCAGAACGCATGCATTAGATTTTCGTACGGAATTAGAAAATTCGATTACATATCAGCAGCATTTGAGAAATATTGACGGATAAATATGAAGCTTAGACGTGCTCTATGTATGTGTTGTATGATTCATAAAATCTGCAAAACAGAAACTCCTGATCATGATACAAATAGACGAGGTATAGTCACTAACGATTGCATTTTGGTCAAGATCGCGCAGGGACCAATGAAGTCACGTTCAATGCAACATCATTTTCACTTGGAGGGGACTTAACTACGTTTTGGTTCGAGAGGATATGGCAACTTAAAATTGAACTGATGTTGCGGCGCAACGACACAACATACGTAAAGTCAGCCAATCAGAGTAGAGAGGGTCCAGTCACGTCACTGTCTAAATGCGTAGAACTGCTAGTGGCTATACCTCGTCTATTTGTATCATGCTACTGATTACATGAGTATTAATAGATCCGTTATGGCGAGACTTGGGTGTGGCCAAGGTACGGGGGGAGGGGGGCGGGTTTAATGTACGAGGGCAGGCGGGTCAGGCAGTCAACCCAAGAGTTGTGTAGCGGAAATTTTTTTCATTTAAAATTCTCAGGGCCCAAAAGTTTTGCGACGGAAATTTTTTATGTTTAAAATTCCCTTGACTCAAGAATTTCGCATGTGAAATTTTTCGTTTAAAATCTTGAAGTTGAACATTTTTCGTAGTCCAGAAGAAAGGATATTTATAGAGGGTGGTATATCGCAATTAGTCAGCAGGGTGTTTTGCCAGTGGTGAGGATTATAGAAATAATTTTTACATTTCGAAAACTAGTCGGGAGAGCGAAAAGTTTTGTGACAGAAATTTTTTCGTTTTATGTTTCGAAGGCTTAAGCAATAGCGCTTTTTTTCGTTTCCAGTTTTAAAGACGGACAATTTCCGATAGCTAAAACGAAAGGATGTTTATGGAGCGTAGTATATTGCAATTTCTCAGCAGCGTGTTTTATCAGGTGTGAGGATTACGTAGACGCTATGGTTGTAATAGGAGTATCGAACGTATCATTCTTGTATTGGTGAAGTATTTGTATTTTGTATTTGGTTATGCATTTCACCCTCAACACTCCTCCCCTCTATTCTAAATAACTGTATGTAAACTACATACCTTTTTGTCTTAGAGAGGCTAGTGGTATAGAAATGCTTCCTATCCATATCACTGTTCCAATATGCCCGAGAGTAATAGAAATCTGAAAAGAAAAAACGTTCGTTTGCTAGACGAGACCATCGATGGTATTATACAACCAGAAGTATACAATACCGTCAGCAATGAAATTGAAAAGGCTATCGAAATTGAACGGAAAAAACATTTCCTATACGGTGCGATAATGACAATGACATCATGCACAACACCGAGAGTGACTTATGGGAGGATCTAAAGGACATTATCGGTGGACATACCGCATCAACGTATCAGTGGGGAGAGGAGCAGAAGATTCTACCGTTGTGGTTGGAGATAGAGTTAAAATCGTAAGTCGGACGACGAGACACTTTCAAGGATTTAAACTCGATGGATGGTGAATAATGTTTCAGATTCAGATTCCGGAGAAAGATGTAACTCCCATGAATTGGTTAAGAGAAGCGTTTGAAAATTATCACAATCATGTGAAAGAGAATCCGGGTGATTTTTTAGATCTTGTAGGAATAACATTTAATACTCCAGGATTTTCTTAAAATCGAACAGTGGGGCTGTCGTTTCGACTCGCACAAGATTCTAATTTTGAACATCTTTGGACATTAGTTGAAAATGTTGCTTAAAGCGGTCACGATGTTGCTATCGATGAGACGTTCATGATAACAGTTCAATGATTGCTTGTAAAGGTAGACTGTCCGTGAATTCGTACGATCGCTTCGTACTAAGTAAAAAATCTGTTGTAATTACCAACAACGTTAATCAAGAGACTCGGCCGACTTTAGCGCCCAGTACATTAAGAGACTCTTTACTCGAAGCATCTCTTGTACCTGTGTTTGGAATCAAATAACTTATGGACAGCTATGTGTGAGAAAAAGTTATTGGTAGATTCACTATAGGAATCGAAGATTCTGAATTGATTGTCATAAAAATCAATGAGGTTGATGTACGAGATCAGGGAGTATTCAGAGGACCAGCGAGATGATTTTATTTCAGATCGGGCGTCGTCGTCGTTCTCGTCGTCATCTTCGCACGTTCATCTGCTTTTTCACACGATGGATAGCGCTGGGTGGTTCGTCTTCTTTAGCTACGTGTACTGTGGATGGTGTTCGTAATTTACGAATACACAACACAATCAAATACATTTTGTACGTGAAGCTACCGTTCACACCGAATTTCCAGTACTGGAAATGGCTAAGGCTGCTTTACAATAGTATAGAATTATTAGGTCTTTAGCTTGTACGGAAAGTGTACATACTTGAACAGCAATAGATTGCATCGGATAATATAGTTTTAATGATATAAATAGATATTCACACTTAATTTAATTAAATCCTATCCCTTTACTAAATATTAAATAGGTTAACGGGTAGTATTTTTTTACTGTTCAGTAATATCTATTTCACAATATAGATTTGAGTGCTTAGAACTTCTATATCCCGAACAACGAAACTGAGCAATGAAAACTTGTTATACCCCCCCTCAAAAAAAAAACACTCACGTGTAAAGAACTATGCCAAGTACAGGAGTGCTGTGAATTCCTCTAACAAAAGGTATTGAAATCATATTATTAATGCCAAGTACATAAGTCACTACATGTCTGCCTATTATATGATCTAGCACTGGTCCATCATTTTAATTATATTTTCAAAATTTCCTATAATGTTTTCGCTAGTCTTTTATATTACTACTGCTTCCCGTATTTAATTATGATTTAATGATCATTTATAAATTAATAAAACTTTAGGTGATTTCTTATCGAGTAATACTTGACGGGTCCGTGCCAGGAATTTCGAAGTACTTATAGTCCGGGAGCGACATATTTTGGTCAGTCATTTCAATCCGGCTGATATTATGTAATATGCTTCATATGGTGTTGTTATAAAGCCTCGTGAACGTCAGCTGGTTCAGTAACGGTGGGTTGGTCAACGGCAGCCTCTCACGCACGTTAAAAAAATAAAAAATAAATAAGCAAAACCAACCCCGCTGAAAATTCATTTATGTAACTCATGCATGAAAAACGCTACTTTTCGTGCCTCCAAAGTGTGGCGAAAATGGCGCTTTATAACTAAGGATACGATAAAAATGCTGCGCATGCGCAAATCGGCCCAATTTTACATTATCGCACTAGTGCGATAAAAACTAGTGCACAAAAATTAGCGTTTTTCATGCAATCGTTACAGAAAATATTATGCGATACTGGTACAATAAAGTGAACATTATACGCAGTTCGTGAAGTTTGTCACACTCGCCGCACTCGTAAAACAAGCAGCACTCGCCTTCAGCTCGTGCCGTTTTGTTACTCGTGTGCGGCTCGTGCGACCAACTTCATCGCCTGCCTATAAAGTTCGCTTTCTCGCACTTGTATCGCAAAGTACTGTTATGTACAATTATCAGTCATCTTGTTTATTAGTTATTGCCAAAAGAAAATGAACACAATCATTATTCCAAAAGGAATGGTTCAAACAAAGAACGCCTCATTCAGTCCTTCTTCTCATCAAAAGACTCGGTCGAGTCTCGCGCCAAGTACAGGCAACCGGCTGTACAGGGCGCAGCGCGCCGAGACTCTTTACTCGAGTCAACTCCTTATACCTGTGTTTGGAACGAAATATCTTATTAACCATTATACATAACAAAAAGTTATTGACTATTCACTATAGGAATTGAGGGTTCTGAATTGATTGCCACCACGTTCAATACGATTTGTGTACGAGATCAGGGCGTATTGAGATGGCGAGCGAGATGATTTTATTTCAGTTCCGTCGTCGTCGTCGTCTTCGTCTTCGTCTTCGTCTTCGTCTTCGTCTTCGTCTTCGTCTTCGTCTTCGTCTTCGTCTTCGTCTTCGTCTTCGTCTTCGTCTTCGTCTTCGTCTTCGTCTTCGTCTTCGTCTTCGTCTTCGTCTTCGTCTTCGTCTTCGTCTTCCTCTTCGCACGTCCATCACATTTTTTACACGACAGATGGCGCTGACTGCA